TCCAACTCATAGTGACCCTAAGTAAAACAAGATGAAACTCTGCTGCGTCTTCTGCCATCCTCACAATCACTGTTACGCTTGAGCCCACTGCTGCAGCCACTGTGTCAATCCATCTCATTGAAGGTCTTCCTCTTTTTTACTGACCCTCTACTTTACCAAGCATGATGTCCTTCTCCAGGGACTGGTCCCTCCTAAAATCACATCTAAAGTATGTGAGAAGAGCTCTTGCCATCCTTGCTTCTAATGAGAATTCTGGCTGTACTGTTTCCAAAATACAGTTGTTCATTCTTTTGGAAGTCCATGGTATCTTCAATATTCTTCATCAACACCAGAATTCAAAGGCATCAATTCTTAAGTCTTCCCTACTCATTAACCAGCTTTCACATGCATATGAGGGGACTGAAAACACCGTGGCTTGGGTCAGGTGTACCTTAGTCCTCAAAGTGGCATCTTTGCTTTTGAAAACTTTAAAGAGATCTAGTGCAGCAGATTTGCCCAATGCTATGCGTCACTTGGGAAGAACATGCTCAGCATTTCTCAAAGTGAAAGAATGAAGAAAAAATTCAAGCCCCGAGTTGAAATACTAAAAGATTCTACGGAGAAAATATTAAACGACACAGGAAGCACCAAATAAGATGAAAGGAATACACAGAGTCCCTGTATCTAAAAGAATTGGTCAACGTTCAACCATTTCAGGAGGTAACATATGATCAGAAACCAATGGTACTGAAAGTCCAGTAAACGACTGAAAGGAAGTCCAAGCTGCACTAAAGGCACTGGCGAAAAACAAGGCTCTGGGAACGGACTGAATACCAATCGAGATGTTTCAACAAACCGATGCAGCGCTGTTAAGTGCTCACTCGCTAGCCAAGAAATTTTGAAGACAGCTACCTGGAAAACAGACTGGAAAAGATTCATATTTATGCCTATTCCCAAGAAAAGTGATCCAACCAAATGTGGAAATTATCAAACAATATCATTAATATCACATGCAAGCAAAATTTTGCTGAAGATCATTCAAAAGTGGCTACAACAGTATACCGACAGAAATTCAAGCTGGATTCAGAAGACGACGTGGAACCAGGGACACACTGCTGATGTCAGATGGATCCTGGCTGAAAGCAGAGAATACCAGAAAGATGTTTACCTGTGTTTTATTGACTATGCTAAGGCATTCGACTGTGTAGATCAAAACAAATTATGGACAACGTGGCGGAAAATAGGAATTCCGGAACACTTAACTGTCCTCACGAAGAATCTGTACATGGATCAAGAGGGAGTTGCTCGAACAGAACAAGGGGCTACTGCATGGTTTAAAATGAGGAAAGATGTGCATCAGGGTTGTATCCTTTCACCATACCTATTCAATCTGTATGCTGAGCAAATAATCTGAGAAGCTGAACTATACGAAAAAAAGGGCATCAGAATTGGAGGAAAACTGATTAACAACCTGCATAACGCAGATTACACAACCTTGCTTGCTGAAAGTGAAGAGGACTTGAAACACTGATGAAGACCAAAGACCACAGCCTTCAGTACACATTACACCCCAACACAAAGAAAACAAAAATCCTCACAACTGGTCCAATAAGTAACATTATCATAAACAGAGAAAAGACTGAAATTGTCAAGGATTTCATCTTACTTGGATCCACAATAAACACCCATGGAAGAAGCAGTCAAGAAATCAAAAGACGCATTGCATTGAGCAAATCTGCTGCAAAAGACCTCTTTCAAGTGTTAAAAAGCAAAAATGTCACCAAGAGGACTAACGTTAGCCTCACCCAAGCCATGGTGTTTTCAATTCCCTTATATGCATGTGAAAGCTGAACAATGAATAAGGAAGACCGAAGAAGAATTGACGCCTTTGAATTGTGGGCTTGGTGATACCATGCACTGTAAAAAGAACGAACAAATCTGTCCTGGAAGAAATATAACCAGAATGCTCCATAGGAGCAAGGATGGCTAGACTATGTCTCACAAACTTTGGACATGTTATCAGGAACGATCAGTCCCAGGACATCATGCTTGGTAAAGTAGAGGGTCAGCAAAAAGGAGGAAGACCCTCAGTGGGATGGATTGACACAGTGGCTGTAACAATGGGCTCAAGTATAACAATTGTGAGGATGGTACAGGACCAGTGTTTTGTGCTGCTGTGCATAAGGTAGCTATGAGTCCGAATCGACTCGACGGCACCTAACAAGAACATGCGTCGTTTGATTTCTTGACTGCTGCTTCCTGGCGCATTGATATGGATGCAAGTAAAATGAAATCCTTGGCAACTTCAATCTTTTCTCAGTTTATCACGACACTGCTTATCAGTCCAGATGGGAGTATTTTGTTTTATGTTATGATCCATACTGCAGGCTGTGGTCTTTGATACTCATCAGCAAGTTCTTCAAGTCCTCTTTCAGCAAACAAGGTTGTGTCATCTGCATATCGCAGGTTAAGGAGTCGACCTCCAATTCGGACGCAATGTTCTTCCTCACTGTCTTAGTTATCTAGTGTTGCTGTAACAGAAATACCACAAGTGGATGGTTTTAAAAAAGAGAAGTTTATTTCCTTACATTAAAGTAGGCTAAAAGTCCAAATTCAGGGTGTCAGCTCCAGGGGAAGGCTTTCTCTCTCTGTCAGCCTTCTCATCATTGTTCTCCCAGACTAGAAGCTTCTCCGCCCAGGGACAACGGGTCCAAAGGACATGCTCTGCTCCTGGCACTGCTTTCTTGATGTATGAGGTCCCCGTCTTACTGCTCACTTCTGTCTTTCATATCTCAAGAGACTGCCTCAGGACACAATTCAGTCTTGTAAATTGAGTCTTGCCTCACTAACACAACTGCCGCCCATCCTCCCTCATTAACATCATAGAGGCAGGATTTACCACACATGGGAAAATCACACAATACCGGGAATCATGGCCCAGCCAAATGATATACACATTTTTGGGGGGACTTAATTCAATCCATGACACTCATATAGTCCTGCTACTTGGATTACTTCCTCAGTATGCCGACTGAATAAGTATGGTGAAAGGATACAACCCTGACAAATACCTTTCTTGACTTTGAACCATGCAATACCCTGTTGTTCTCTTGGAACAATTGCCTCTTGGTCTAAGTACAGGTTCCTCATGAGCACAATTAAGTGTTCTGGAATTCATATTCTTCGCAATGGTTTCCATAATTTGTTTTGATCCACACAGTTGAATACCTTGCATACTCCATAAAACACATGTAAACGTCTTTCTAGTATTCTCTCTTTTCAGCCTTCATCCATCGGACATCTGCAACAATATCCCTTGTTTCACGTCCTCTTTTGAATTAGGATTGAATTTCTGCCAGTTCCCTGTTGATGTACTGCTGCAACCACTTTTGAATGATACTCAACAAAATATTACTTGTGTCATATTAACAATACGGTTCGATAATTTCCGCATTCTACCACACAATAATAAGGAACAATGATGAATCCGTGATATATGTTGCAACAGAGATGAATCTGGAGAGCATTATGCTGAGTGAAGTAAGTCAAACACAAAACGACCAATGCTTATGAGACCACTACTATGAAACTCAAGAAAACGTTTACACACTGAAAAAATCCATCTTTAATGGTTACAAGGGAAGAAAAATCTTAACCAGATAGGAGGTAAGCGCTAACACTGATGAAGACAAAGACAGTACACAATATAGGGTACAACTTGACGACAGCAAAGTGACAAAGCTTTATAAAAACGAAAACAAATCAGTTGCTGTTGAGTCAATTCCGACTCACAAGAACCCTAAAGAACAGAGTAGAACTGCCCCACTGCATTTCCAAGGAGCAGCAGGTAGATTCGAACTGCCTACATTTTGGTTAGAAGCTACAGCTCTCAACCACTACACCAAAAGGGTTTCCATAAGCTTCACAGATACATTCAACCACCCTGAGATACTGAGGCTAAAGGCTGGGGATCATGGTCGCAGAATCATCTAGGTCAACTGGCATAACATAGTTCACGAAGAAAATGTTCTACATCCAATTTGGTGAGTAGCATTTGGGGTCTTAAAAGCTTGTCAGTGGCCAGCTAAGATACATCTACTGGTCCTATCCCATCTGGAGCAAAGGAGAATGAAAAAAATCAAAGACAAAAAGCAAACATTAGTTCGAAGGACTAATGGACCACAAATACCACAGCATTCACCAGCCTGAGCCCAGAACAATTAGACGGTGCTTAGTTGCCACTGGCCACCAACACTGATCACAACAGAGGTTCACATACATTGCTGAAGAAAACTGTAGAACAAAATTCAAATTACCAAAACAATAAAAAATAAAAAAAGACCAGACCTACTGGTCTCCCAAAGACTGGTGGAACCCCCAAGACGATGGTCTCTGGACATCCTTTCAACTCAGAACTAAAGCCACTCCCAAAGTTCACCCTTCAGCCAAAGACTAGTCTATAAAACAAACCATAACACAACCTAGGAACTTGCTGCGAAGTTCAGTCATGACTCCAACACCAAAAGGGCAACACCTGCCAAAAGCAATGACAAAAAGGAAGGAAGGGACAGGAAAAATGGATGGATGGAAATGGAACACGGGGTAGGGAGGGGAGACTGGTGACACATCATGGGGATTGCAACCAATGTCACAAAAAAAATTTGTATATCAATTGTTGAATTAGAAACTAACTTGCTCCGTAGACTTTGACCTAATGCACAATTGAAAAGAAAAAACACAGAGCACCAAGGCCCAGAGTAGGGATGGTAACGTCCCACGGTTTCAACTTGGAAGTCAAGTACGGAAGGTGACCTAGTCATTCAAGGCTTAAAAACCACATATAATTAAGGAAAGGGCCCTGTGACAATGGTGCTTCTTAGGATTTAGCCCATGGTCTCTTCTACCACATTTTACATTCTACAACAAGCACAGAGCTGGAAGTACAAAGCTCGTTCTCCAACAAATCATATTTAGCCTCACCCCTTTATGCTAACAATTACCCAGTTCTCTGTGGTACTCACCATTTCCTGCCTCCAACCTCTCGAAGTCTATGTGAATGTCCTCTCTACAGCCCAAAAAGCCAGTTAAGGCAAGAGCAATGGGAGTGGAGGCAAGGCCACTAAGCAGTCTGGAAGCAGATGAACAATGTTTTGTCTACACAGTTAGAAGCTGGAATCCTTACTGGTGATCTACAGATGTATAAGATGGCAGCCCTTGGTCCCAGGCCGCCTAGACAGGACCAGATCTTCTCCAGTCACACTTCAGACCTGAAATAGAAGATGAGGGTGCATGTTGAGGGACACAGTGTTGAGTTATGTAGGGAGTGACAGGTTTTTGGCTTCAGCTCTTTCCCGGGGTAGGGCTTCCTCCCAGGCTCAAGGCATTGCTCAGCCTTGAGAGTATCTTCGGTCCTCATGCAGCTCTACAGTTTTCAACCTTATGGCAAGGAAATCACAGATGGAGCAATTTCCTCATGCCAGAGTATGGGAAGCATCCGTACCTGGCCAGGGTGGAAAATGTGAATCTGATTTCCACCTGATTTCAGACTGTGGCTTTATCTGGGTATCTCTGGTGCTTCTAAATCCACATAGACATTTATACTTGATATTAACATGGGTGAACTGTCAGGAAGAACATATTTTTCAAGTCTGGTCAAGAAAGCCACCCTGACTCCTTGATTTTTTATTATGTGCAGTTAACTGTCTTGATATTTAATTCTCATTTCATTTCTATCACTGTACAATGTGATCAGTATTTTTCCTCTGAATTTTGCAATTAGCATTTTTTTTCGCTTGGAGATCTTTTCATTTCCCTCTGTGTACAGACCGACACAGAATCCTGACTATGTAATACCTTCTTACCAACAATAAAATATATGGCTTTCATTCTACATAGAATTGTTATCTTCAGGGTGTGGGGAGGTATGGGGGCATTACAAAGATTAAATGCCAATACCAAGCAGTGATAACCTAAAGAAAGAAAATCAGATTTGAGAAAATGCAGTGAGGAAAAAAGGACTCTTTAAATAAATCCATCTGGAATAAGTGGTTATTAGTACTGAAACAAAATAACGAGACTGCTTCCATAATAGCAACTCCAGTGAATTATCATTCTAAATATTACAAACATAAATTACGTTAATGACTTTAGAATTAGCAATGTTTTCCCAAATAGAACAATTAAAACTACATATTTCAATTTTCAAATACCTGCAGCTCCTGCCTGATTATTATCTATATATTTACTCCTAACTTTTCCTCTATCTAAAACAGCAGCCTTTTGTTCCTCTTACCTTCAACAGATTGGATATACACACGTTATTTTCTTTCTACATTATAATATTTGCTTTAAACACAAATTTATTCTCTATATTACAAATGCTGTACACATTACTCATCAATTTGCCTTTCACTTCTCCATGTTCAAAGTTGTGTCCTATAAATCAACACTTTCCAACAGTTGCACTTTTCATATTTATCCAAATAAGAGCACTTTCTAAAATAATTTAAAAATGAGGCACACTTACCAACACGGTAGTGTGGCTCATCAGGATGTGTTGTAATATGTTGAATACTTCCATAACGCACGCCTCTCATTTTGCCCTCAGTGCCAATATTTGTTGCTCTAATACTGCAAATATGTCGGCTTTTTTACTGCAAGAAGC